TTTTGTGTAAATTTTTGTGTAAGAGCCTTGGTAGTACAGGGGTTTAAGGCACCCTGTTATTAAGCTGGTAATTAAGACCAGCTGCCTGCAATTACTGCAGGGTTCGAATCTCGCCAAGGCTCAAGGTTGACTCAGCCTTCCATCCTTTCTAAGGTAGGTAAATTGAGGACCCAGTTGTGGGGGCAATAGGCTGACTTTGTATAAATATACAAAAGGATGAAGGCTATTGCTGAGCACATTGTAAGCCGCCCTGAGTCTTCGGAGAAGGGCGGCATATAAATCAAATTAAAATAATAATAATAATAATAATAATAATAATAATAATAATAATAATAATATAAACATCATAAAAGCCATAAATACCTGGGCTATACCTGTGATTAGATACTCTGCAGGAATAATTGACTGGACCCAGATGGAGTTAGACAATTTGGACAGAAAAACAAGGAAGCTTATGACAATGAATCATGCCTTGCACCCTAAAAGTAAGGTGACCAGACGTCCCGCTTTTGGCGGGACAGTCCCGCTTTTGAGCAATTTGTCCCGCGTCCCGCGGCGTTTTAAAAAAGTCCCGATTTTTCATTCTGCCTCCTGAGTCCCGGCTGATGACTAGAGGGAAAAAACCTGTTTAAACTCTTGCCGCGGGGCTTCAAAGGGCCGCCCTATGTTGATTAGCTCGGCTTCTCCCTCTCAGTTGATTTGCGCAGGGCTCTGCTCTTCCTAAATTGCTCAGCAGTTTTTTTTTTCTCTTTGTGCAAACCAAGCTCAAAACGAAAGTGAAAGTAAAATAGGCTGTTGGCTTTGCTGTTTGCTTGCAACGTTGGAAAATTAGGCAGCAGATTTATTTTCCTTTTCCTCACCAAAAAAGGTAGGTGGAAACAATGGGAAATTATTTAGGGCAAAAGAGGAGAGTTCAAGATTTTAAAACACAAAAGAAAAAAAAGCTCTTTTTAACTAGGGAATTGTAATAATTGAGATACTATTAATTGTATACTGTGTTGAAAGCAGAAATGGTTAAGTTGTGGTTTGGAGGAATATATGAGGGAAATTATTTGGTTTATTATTATTGGTAAGTATAATTAATTGATTTGTAAGAAATTGGATTGCATGGAAATAATTGGAATATTCATGTTCATATTGATTAATATACAAAAAAGATAGTTATATAACTAATTGATTTATATTAAAATGTTGAATTTGTATTACATAATTAACCAATGTGAGGATGGATATAAAAATAGATGACAATGGGAAGGGGTATAATATAGAATAGAAGGGAAAAATTGAATTTGATTAAGATTAGAGATGAGGATGAAGGGTAATATTGTTTTTTTAAAAAAATAGATGAGGAATAAATATGGCAAAAAGGAAATATAGAAATTGTAAATTTAATTGAAATGACTAAACACTGTTTAAATTTGTGAACCGGCCAAATACTCTGTTCAAAGAAAATACATTGTATGTTTGTATGTGTGTTTCTAATTATTGCTATTTATTCATATTTGTTCTCTTTTATTCTTTAAAGTTTAACAATTCATTCTTTATCTTAATATCTTTATATTTGTTTGGGGTTGGCTTTCTTCCCTTTCATCTTTTTTATTGTACAGCAATCTTTCTCCTCAAACCTACCACCTCTCTTTTCTTTCCTTCTTACTTTCTCTTCCCCCCACCCTCTTCTTCTCCTCCCTATTTCCTCTTCCTTTCTCCTTCTCCTCCTCTCTTCCTCCCTCTCTTACCTTCACTCCTACTCTAATTTCCCTTCCCTTCCTTCATCCCTCTCTATTACTGTATCCTTTTATGCATATGGACTACTCAGAGGGCTGAAAAACTTATTTTTGACTGGTCCTCACACTTTTGACCAGTCCTCGAACTAACGACTGTCCTCACATTTTACATTTTTGCCCTATCTTGTCATCATGGTGAAGAGAAGCAGTTGTGAAATGAGTGACATGGTTGTTAAGAATGCTGCATGGGCATAAATATGAGGATGGTCATAAGTGTGAGGACCAGTCAAAAGTGCGAGGACCTGTCAGAAATGACTTTTTTCAGCCCTCTGGTTAGTCCTTTTGTGCATATGGACTACTCAGAGGGCTGAAAAAGTTATTTTTGACTGGTCCTCGCACTTTTGACCAGTCCTCGAACTTACGACTGTCCTCACATTTTACATTTTGCCCTATCTTGTCATCATGGTGAAGAGAAGCAGTTGTGAAATGAGTGACATGGTTGTTAAGAATGCTGCATGGGCATAAATATGAGGATGGTCATAATGTGAGGACCATCAAAAGTGCGAGGACCTGTCAGAAATGACTTTTTCAGCCCTCTGGTTAGTCCTTTTGTGCATATGGACTACTCGAGGCTGAAAAAGTTATTTTTGACTGGCCTCGCACTTTTGACCATCCTCGAACTTACGACTGTCCTCAAATTTTACGTTTTTGCCCTATCTTGTCACCATGGTGAAGAGAAGCAGTTGTGAAATGAGTGACATGGTTGTTAAGAATGCTGCACGGGCATAAATGTGAGGATGGTCATAAGTGTGAGGACCAGTCAAAAGTGTGAGGACCTGTCAGAAATGACTTTCCAGCCCTCTGAGTAGTCCCTATACACATAGCCATGGCCACCCGGTCACATGACCAGGTAGCCACGCCCACCCAGTCACATGGCCTCCAAGCCACGCCCACACAATAAGCCACACCCACAATGGTGTCCCTCTTACCAATGTTAAAATCTGGTCACCTTACCTAAAAGTGATGTTGACCGATTATATTTACCAAGAGCAGAGGGTGGTCGAGGACTCCTACAAGTAAAGCAGACTGTGGAAGAAGAAAAATGCAGCTTGAATGATTACATCCAGAAAAGTGAAGAACCAATGATTAAGGAAGTAAATAAAGGAGGCCTTTTAAAGACAACTAAAACAAAAGCAGAATATAAGAAAGAAGTAATTGAGCAGCGAGCTGAAAATTGGAAACACAAAGCTCTGCATGGCCAATACTTGAAAAGTATTGAAGGCAAAGCTGACCAGAAACTAACTTGGAACTGGTTAAGATCAGGAGTACTGAAAAAAGAAACTGAAAGCTTTATTTTGGCAGCTCAAGAACAAGCCCTAGCCACAAACTGTATGAAGACAAAAATTCAACATGTTACCACCAACAGCAAATGCCGCCTCTGCAATGAGAAAGATGAGACAGTTGACCACCTGATCAGTGGGTGCAGCAAAATTTCACAAACTGACTACCTACAACGCCATGACCGTGTTGCTAAAATCATTCACTGGAAATTATGCCAGAAGTTTGGATTTGAGTACAGCAAAAACCACTGGGAACATCAGGTTGAGAAAGTTTTAGAGAATGAGAAACTCAAGATCTTGTGGGACTTTAGGATTCAGACTGACAGGCACTTGGTCCACAATACACCTGACATAACAATAGTTGAAAAGAAAAAAGTATGGTTCATTGACATTGCAATACCTGGTGATGCACGAATTGAAGATAAGCAGCAAGAAAAAATCACAAAGTACCGGGACTTACAAATTGAAGTTGAGCGACTATGGAAAAAGAAATCGTGTGTTGTCCCGATTGTAATTGGAGCCCTCGGAGCAATACCCAAAGGGCTACCCCGCTATTTAGAAATCCTAAATTTGCCGGACTTGAACATTTTGACTCTACAAAAAACCACCTTACTCGGAACAGCTTACATCCTCCGACGATACCTTAACAGTTCCTAGGTCCTTGGTTAGGACTCGAGCTGCTGAGCTATTAACCAGCCTCAAAGGCTGTGAATCTCACTAAAGATTAACCAATAAATAATAATATGAAGTTAGTGGAATGTCATGTAAACTAGAATCCTCAGAACTTCAGAGACAGAGTTCCTGGTTCCATAAGGGATGACACGGTGTATCGAACAGGCATTAGACTTCAGCGACTGTTGATGATTGTTGTAATGATATAGATAAAATGTGAACTTGTACAAGTTTTCATGTGCTAGCTAATAATTAATAGGCTCCAGGCTGCTACCCTTGATCTTTACCAACTCTGCCATCCTCAAATTTTCTAGTGTGCTGAACATGGTCAGTTCTTTTAGGGATACTTCAGATTCCACTGCTCCCCTTAGTAGTCTTTTTACTATTTTGTTGCCTTTTTGTAAATCCCCTCCAAATTCCCTTGCATTCTGCCCAATGAGACCGAGGTGGGCCATACTCACAGAATGATTGTGCTATATTTATAAATTATATTGTCTGGAACATATTCCCTGACTTCATATCCCACTGACAAATTAGGATTCAAATAATGTCTCTGCTCTACAGTAGGTCTACGCATGCAGGAAAGTCTTTGAGTTGTGATTGCCATAACATGTTTTGTCGTTTATACCAGACATCCATTCTGTACCCCAATCAGTAATATATTCAAGATGCAACTGGACAGCTTGGAATATCTCTTATTTTCTAGAAAAGATAATTTATTTAAATCATGGGGTGGTTAGATGCACGGACTAAATCAAAAGTTAGTTTGAAAGTCTGAAGAGCAGGGTAGTTGTAGATAATGTGATTGACTGTTTCCATCTCTCCAAGGCTACAAATGAATGTGGGTAAAAGTTTCGTTTACAAAGTTCCAGAATTTCTTTCTTTCTCTTCAAAAGCTGGAGAGTAGTCATTAGGGAGACATTATATTTAGATTCACATCCATCTTTACCACTCAATCATCTTTCTCAGAATCGGAAAATATTAAAACCCTTTGTGATCTTAGAGGTCACAGTCATAATAACTGTTTGCTACTCTTCAACTGAATGCATATAGGCTATTTTTAAAAAAATAAGATTTTTTTTTTTTTTAAAAAGTGATTAATCATGAAAACTGGAACTGGCTTGGAATTTAAAAACTGGCATAAGATTTCATTTTTTTTTTTTTCATTTTAGGCCAATGATCTTGGATGACATATCAATTGTTTCAACCAAGGACCTCTTTGCTAACTGGATCTTTTCTTCAAACTTCACATGCGATCACCTCCAAACTTTGTGAGTCTTTCCATACTATTCAAGACGTTCTCTCTGTAAAATGTCATTTAGATGTCACAGCTTGATGCTTAATTTTATCTCTTCCTGCTGATTTTTAAATAGATAGATAGAATAGAATTCTTTATTGGCCAAGTGTGATTGGACACACAAGGAATTTGTCTTTGGTGCATATGCTCTCAGTGTACATAAAAAGACAAGATACATTTGTTAAGAATCATAAGGTACAACAACACTTAATTATAGTCATAGGGTACAAATAAGCAATCAAATCATACTAAGAAACAATCAGTATAAATCATAAGGATACAGCAACAAGTTACAGTCATAAGTGGGAGGAGGTGGATGATAGTAACGATAAGAAGATTAATAGTAATAGTAATGCAGCAGAGGTGGGTTTCAGCAGGTTCTGACCAGTTCTGGAGAACCGGTACCAGAATTTTTGAGTAGTTCGGAGAACTGGTAGTAAAAATTCTGACTGGCCCTGCCCCCATCTATTCTCTGCCTCCCAAGTCCCAGCTGATCGGGAGGAAATGGGGATTTTGCAGTAACCTTCCCCTGGATTGGGGAGGGAATTGAGATTTTACAGTATCCTTCCCCTGGAGTGGGGTGGGAATGGAGATTTTACAGTATCCTTCCCCTGCCATGCCCACCAAGCCATGCCCATCAAGCCATGCCCACCAAGCCCCACCCACAGAACCGGTAGTAAAAAATTTTGAAACCCACCATTGTAATTCAGACTTTGAATAGTTTGACAGTGTTGAGGGAATTATTTGTTTAGCAGAGTGATGGCATTCCGGAAAAAACTGTACATGTATCTTTTCAGATAGGGAGTGTGAAGCAATATGTTCTGTTGTCTTTTTCCAGTTTGCTGGAGGAAAAAATGAAGCTCTGATCATTGGAAAGTCTCTGGGTTTACTCTCAGAGAAGTAGGTCAAGAATCCATGAAAGATCCTTCTTTTCTCCAGAACTAGAAGAACATAAATCAGGAAGAGACTGGGTTAACAACTCCCAAACTCTGCATAGTAAAGCCACAAGGAGGCCACAAGACCCTTCCCTTCATGTACTTAAAATATGCTACAACTGTAGAATTACGCCCACTATATTTCTTTTGTCTTGATCCCAACCTGTAAGTGAAACAGGCTAAATTGTTTTTAACCACAAGGATGTTAAAATAAGATTTTCGCCTTTGTTTTCACTTCATCCAGGGATGTGTGCAATCTATTAGGTTTTGGATACCTTATTCCCTTGGAGGAAAATCAGATGACTACAGTAGTTTGAAATAGAGATAATAGTGAGCAATAATAGAAGTCCACATTTCATGCAAGTATAATTTTCTGTTGATTCAAGGACAGGTGTGTAGGAAGAAATATCCTTCTGGGTTCAGCTCCAAGTGGGGAAAAAGACACTGGAAACATGGAGACTGCTTGGAAAGATGGTTTAATGGTGGACAGGATCACATGGCTTGAGTTCCTGAACAGAAAAGGGGACGAGACACAGTGAGTCCCCGGGTTTTATGCCCTCTCTGGCTTTGAATTATCTGGGGCCCAGAAAGAGTATCCTGATTGGTTGTCAGACTCCCAGGGGGTGGGGTTCTTAGCTAGCCTTGCTGGCTGATGTAATCTTCCCAGGGGCCATGTGGTGAGTTTCTGTTGCTAGATGGGTCCTATTGTGTTGCAGATGATGGTCCATTGACAAATTGAGTTTCTGTCTCTGGCCCATTGGTGGGGGCAGGAAGATGAGAGTTGCTTCGTCTTTAAAACATGCTTCTCCATTTCTCATCCAGGGAAACATAATATTCTACCTTTTTAATATTTCCCAAAATATTTCATTCCCCTCTAGGAAAGGGGTGGGTGCTAACTTCCTACAGGTGGAGAGCACTTCACTCAGTTGTGGGAAAAGTGACAAATCAAATAAATTCATAAATATTAGGAACAGGAGAATGACAGCTTTCCTCTATTGCTGGTCTCTTGTTGTTAGCCCCTCAACGTAAACCAGACCAGGAAGTCTACAAGTTCAACTGCAATTATCTTTTATTGATACAAGCTGCAGGAGATCTATGCAGTTATACCTCAAGACTCGATTGGTTCAAAACTTGTTGAATTTGGTACTCAATGAATTTTGACACGAAAATCCATCTCCTTCCACTTATGACTGTATGACTGTAACTTTGTTGCTTGGATCCTTACGATTTATATTGATATTGTTTCCTGATTGCTTATTTGTACCCTATGACTATCATTAAGTGTTGTACCTTATGATTCTTGGCGAACGTATCTTTTCTTTCATGTACACTGAGAGTGTATGCACCAAGACAAATTCCTTGTGTGTCCAATCACACTTGGCCAATAAAAAATTCTATTCTATTCTATTCTATTCTATTCTATTCTATTCTATTCTATTCTATTCTATTCTATTCTATTCTATTCTATTCTATTTCATATTTTCTTTTCTATTCCATATATTCTGTTCTGTTCTGTTCTATTCTATTCCTATTTCTATTCTATTTCATACTTTCTTTTCTTTAATGTTTTTAATTTTTCAATGTTTTTTTATAATTATTTTTAAAAATGTATTGTGAGCCACCCTGAGTCTTCAGAGAGGGGCGGCATATAAATTTAATTAACTATTCTATTCTATTCTATTCTATTCTATTCTATTCTATTCTATTCTATTCTATTCTATTCTATTCTATTCTATTCTATTCTAAATGTTGTCCTGGTCCTGGTTATTTGTTTAGTACTTGATGTGCAGGGTACAATTTGGTGCTGGCTACTTCGTGACTCATTATCCTTTCCGGATGAAACAAAGGGTCACGGTGATAAGTCATGTGATTTGTTTGGTACTCATCGTTTTTAATACTCATCACGTCCCCTGGAAGCAATTAACGAACAGTACCAAGGTACCACTGTACAGCATATGGCTTATGAGCCACACGTGGCCTGCCAAGCAGACTTGGACAGCCCATTGGCATTTTGTTTTGAAAAATAACCCATCTGAACATCACTACTACCAGGATGGATCTGCCATTATTCCCTAGTTTTTCACAGCCACTTCCACCCTGAAAGACATGCTGCTGGACATCTCCAACACCTTCTGACCTCACCAACCCTGCCAGCTCCATGCTGAACTGCTTATTGGTGTCCCATCTGTGGCCCACAATTATGGTTAAGGCATCAGTGTGATCCTTCCCTCTCTGTGAGTTTTGTCAGCAACAAAATCTTGAAAACTAGTCTGGGTTTTCCCTTCCCTCCTTCACCCTGGGGAGTTAGGGTAGAGCTGGTCTGAGTTTCCCTATAATATTTTCTTTGTTTCCCAGGCTTAAAGCATATTTTATTGCATGTTTTTATAACTATCTCTGCATAGTTTCTCCAAGATCATCTCTTTGGCTCTCTACATTAGCAGCTAGAGTTTCAAATATATATGATTCAGAAGGTATCACTTTTGACATTGCTAAGCACATCCTCCATGAATTGGCCTGTTCTTCTTTTAAAAATGTCAGAATTGACATGATTTTCACAATTTAACTAAGCATTATGGAAGAAGACATATTTCACAGAAGAGAATATTTTTTTAGCTTCACAGTTGAACTGTGGAGTCCTCGGTGCTCTCTGAGTGTGGTTGTTGGTTTGCAGACATTTAATCACCCAACTAGGTAACAATATCAATGTGATTGAATATAAGGTTTATTTCAGGGGTGAAATCCAGCAGGTTCTGACAGGTTCTGGAGAACCGGTAGCGGAAATTTTGAGTAGTTCGGAGAACCGGCAAGTACCACCTCTGGCTGGCCCCAGAGTGGGGTGGGAATGGAGATTTTGCCATATCCTTCCCCCAGGAGTGGGGCGGGGATTTTACAGTATCCTTCCCTTGCCACACCCACCAAGCCACACCATGCCCACCAAGCTATGCCCACAGAACCGGAAGTAAAAACAATTTGGATTTCACCACTGATTTATTTCCTGTTTATGTACAGTAGTTTGCATTACCAGTGTTGGTGGGAGAGTTTTCTCATTGGTAGTTCTTTGATTAATGTTTAGTTTTCTGCCTGATGGTTTGCCTGGTGTTATGGGTGTTGGCTATTGGAGAGAATGCGTTCTGGTCTTTTTGTTCTTTCTTAGTTTTTTTATTGTCTCTTTTGAATAGTGTGTAAATATGATTTATCTCTATGTGCCTATCGATGGCTGATTTGTCTGAATGCCAAACTTCCAGGAATTCCCTAGCATCTTTGGATTTAGCTTGGTCGAGGATGTTCATAGTTTTCCAGTTGAAAATATAGTTGTCCGTGTGTTTGCAATTAAGGAGTTTTTGTCATGTCTTCTGACTGCTCATTGTTATTCGTGGAAGCATTGTGGTATTCTTCTGCCTGCCTGTCCTATATAGTGGCTGTTATAATCCTTACACTATATATTGTAGATGACATACTTCTTCATATAGATCCTGAATCTCATTGCATTTCATTTCTGTGGACCACCCAGAGTTCTAAAACTGTGACAGAGAAAGGTAAAACGTTACTCTTTCTACATTTTTCGTACTGGACCATGGAGATCATTATTCCCCTCTCTACTGTTGCTCCAAACTACCATATCCAGGGTTCTAATCTTACATGGTAGCCTTTTAGCACCTAATAATAATTTTTTTGCATGATGGATCTTTGACGTGGTGTGTACTGCTTGTTGCTCTATTTCAGATGGAATGTGACTTGAATCACCCTGCTCAGTAAGAGAAACTTACATGGGGTATTCCTGTTAGATATGCAGTTTCCTGGGTTTCTTGGTGACCCGGCATGACTAGATATTTCCAACTGTAATGTTCCACAGAGATAACTTCTTGGCAGTAGGATGGGAGGACTTCTCATATGATTTTTATGTACCCTGGGAGCATATGCACTAAAGACAAATTCCTTGTGTGTCCAATCACACTTGGCCAATAAAGAATTCTATTCTGTTTATTCTATTTCTATTCTATTCTATTCTATTCTATTCTATTCTATTCTATTCTATTCTATTCTATTCTATTCTACTCTACTCTACTCTACTCTACTCTACTCTACTCTACACTTCTATCGTATCGTATCGTATCGTATCGTATCGTATCGTATCCTATCCTATCCTATCCTATCCTATCCTATCCTATCCTATCCTATCCTATCCTATCCTATCCTAAAAATATATGAGATTCTCTTTCTGTGTCCTCTGGGTCGCAACTAAGCATGGAGAGTTAGGAAATATTGCAACTTACACACTGCGTCCCAACAACTTCCCATATGACTGACTCATTGGCTGCCCTTCTAGTCTGGTGAGGTTTTGTAGATGTTTTGTTTGATCCTCCTCTGATCCTTCAGACTGACTTGCCCACTAATCAGGGATGCTTCTTCAGAGGATGGAGGGGAGGGGGGCATTCCTTCTCTTCATGTCTCAGACCACATGTGATTATTCCTCCCGAATGCCTATCTCTCTGGGTATTGTGACATCTACAAAGAAACCACAATAAAAGTTCTTAACATACAATGCTTTTTTTTTTTTGCAATGTAATGCAATGAATGTATACCCCCAACGCAGACCCTTAACCGATGCTATGAATCTTGTCTTCCCAGTTCCCAAGCACTTCTACTCTTTCTGCCAGTAGTATGGAGATCAATTGCACCCTGGTTGATCACAGGGGAACATGAAATGAAAGCTCCCTCCCTTTGACCCTCACCTCAGCTCAAGCCACCCTCAGTAACAGATACCGGGGAGGGGGGGAACAACCCCAAAATAAAACAAATAGACACATTGAGATGCAATCTGGCCCTAAGATAGTGGTTCAGTTGGTTTCATTGGCATCAACATACATTGTACTCATAGATTTGAACTCCTTGCAGTGAACTTCAACAGTTCTACTCCATCTGAATTTATGTTTATTTTCTTGTGTCAAGCTATACATATTTAGTTCCTGTGCTCCCAGATGTTCGTGGATTTCAGCAAGCCTTCAGTCCCTTTTTTAATTTCATCTGGTAAATCAGAGTGTGTGATTTTTCTCTATGGTGAGGGTCACAGAGGTCTTGGACTGGGATTCCAGGACCCACCTTTTCCAAAGTTACTGGGACCCAGTATGAGCTAAAATGAAATCAATTCAGTGTAGTTAATATAATCATCCTGTATGCGTTTAATTTTGGTTTTTAAATTCTGGGTAAGCCTCTAGGTAAGTCTTTGGTTATGGCAGGACTGAGATGTGAAAAGTAAATAAATAAATAAATAAATGCATTCAGTGAAATTTTCAAAGGGCTATGGAGAGTTACATGAAGTACATTTTTGAGACTTTTAATTGGATTTTTAAAAAGTGCTGAACGTAAGTTGAACATCAGTGGTGGGATTCAATTTTTTTTACTACCGGTTCTGTGGGCGTGTCTTGGTGGGTGTGGCATGGCTTGGTGGGCATAGCAAGGGAAGGATACTATAAAATCTCCATTCCCTCCCTACTTCAGGGGAAGAAGACTGTAAAATCTCCATTCCCTCCTGATCAGCTGTGACTTAGGAGGCAGAGAGTAGATGGGGGTGGGGCCAGTTGGAGGTGGTATTTACCGGTTTTCTGAACTACTCAAAATTTCCGCTACCGGTTCTCCAGAACTGGTCAGAACCTGCTGAAATCCACCTTCTGTTGAACATGTAGATTAGCAAGTGTGTTTTGTTGATGTCTAATAAAATTAAAATATACAGTAGTATGCTTTCCTGTCCTTGCAGGTTTAAAGGAAGGGTCAACTGCTTGCGTAGGTAGAACTGAAGTGTATGTATAGATATATGTGTATGTTGTCCTTTACTGTAACTGACCATCTGATATACAAGTAGTCCTTAATTTTTTGTTTAGTGACCATTTGAAGTTACAAAAGCACTGAAAAAATGAGATGACCATTTTCCCCACTTACGACCATTGTAGTATCCCCATGGTCACATGATCAAAATTCAGGAGCAACTGACTTGTAATTATGACGGTTGCAGTGTCTCGGGGGTCATGTGATCACCTTTTGTGACCTTCTGACAAACAAAGTCAACGGGAAAGAAAGATTCACTTAACGATCATTACTAACTTAACAATTTCAGCGATTCACTTAACAGCTGTGACAAAAAAGGTCGCAAAACGGGGAAAAAACTCAATTAATAACTGTCTCGCTTAGCAATGGAAATTTTGAGCTCAGTTGTGGTTATAAGGAGAAGATTACCTGTAGCTTGGTCTGCCCAAAGGTTTCGCAACAACTTACTTTACATGCTATTTTAGAAATTCAAGGTGATAGCAATAGCACTTAGACTTATATACCGCTTCACAGTGCTTTACACCCCTAGTCAGCATATTGCCCCCAACAATCTGGGTCTTCATTTTACCCACCTTGGAAGGATGGAAGGCTGAGTCAACCTTGAGCCAATGAGAATTGAACTCCTGAACTGCAACCAGCAGTCTGCAGAAAGAGCTTGCAGTACTGCATTCTAACCACTGCACCACCACGGCTCATGTAGTGATACATGTAGTACTCCTTTCTTTAAATTTTCCCCACCAGAATTGCTACGAGAGATAGGCAGGGCAAAGTGAGAACGACCTTTTCCAAATCATCCGTTAATTTCCATGGCTAAGCATGTTGAATTGACCCTGATCCTCCCAAGCCTAATCCAACACATTAATTGCTACAGATAGAGATATGTTTGCTCAGAAACAAGTCCTGTATAGAATATGAGCTTTGATTAAGAATAGACTCCCTGGTTCCTAAATCTACAAAGTAGGGATAATATCTATCTATCTATCTATCTATCTATCTATCTATCTATCTATCTATCTATCATCTATCATCTATCTATCTGTTGTGGCCCGCCAGCGGCCTGCACGGATCGTGGCTGATCCCAACGACCAGGAGGCTGGTGTGGTGTCGCGCCAGTAGCCTGAGCAGCCGGCACTCGCGTCGGACAGCGAGGAGGCTGAAGAGGATATGATGTCAGAGGCAGAGACTCAGCCAGGGCCTTCAGAACCTGCAGAGGCTCCTTCCAGTGGAGAGAGCAAAGTGGAGGAACCTCTTCTCAATGCTCGGGCACGCAGGGCTGCCAAAAGGCAGGAGTGGCTACTTAGGAGGAGGAGGTCTACTCGAGAGTAGGGCTTGAGGATAATTGGCTGCTCCCTTAGCCTATTTAAGTCACACGCAGCTAGTGTTTTCTTGCTGGAAACAACTCGTATTTATTATCAGAGTATTTTGGTTTATCGTATTTTGTTTTCTGGGCTGATTGCCAACCTTTGCCAGTCTTGTTTATCCTTGCTACTTAATAAATTTGATAAGGACCGTTGGTGTGTGTCAATATCCTCGGGAATCCGGAGCTGGGGCAGAACACTATCTATCTATCTATCTATCTATCTATCTATCTATCTATCTATCTATCGTTGTGTGTGTGTGTGTGTGTGTGTGTGTATTCCAATCTCATTGTACACATGTTGTACTCTGACAATAAAGGTTTGAATTGGTTTGAATTGAAATGTATCTCCTTAGGAGACGCGACCCGCTACATTCCTTGGCTTCCCTCTCTAGCGGGTTGGGTAGATGTAACCAGTAAGAGACAGTCCCTCCAAATGATGCTACTCAAGAGATCACATCCTGCCTAGACCAGGGCACTTCTGATTCATTGGCATGATCAGAGAGGACTTGGGGCAGACCGAACAAAGGCCACAGCTCCACCACTTGTCCTTCCCCACATTAGAGAGACAAATATCCTTGGATAAGCAGTCCTTTTAGACAAGTCCGTTAACACTCTCCATGTGAAAAATGTTGTAACCTTTATTAGCAACAGTAGTTACTCAACATCAGTAAAAGAAGAGAATGGCTTGCAGATCTTGTCTATTTCCAAAGAGATTTCTACTGTGTACGAGGTTTTAATTTATTGTCCTGATTAGCTTCCCATTAGTTTTTTTTTTTGTGGCTGATCTCTTGAGAGGTGGAATTATAAGTGCAGGCAGAAAAAAATGCCTCTTTTGCATCACAGCACATAGACGGCTGATCATTTGCACATTAATTTCACAAAAACTGAGCAGCGTTCCCAAGCTGCTCACATAGAAAATATGGATACATACTCCACCCAGAGAGTCATACTTTCCAGGCTTGAGAAAGTGCCAAGCCACAAAACTCTTTGCTGGATGATGATTTTGGGGGGGGGATCTAAACAATGAGATATCTTAACAATAGCGGCAGATCAAGCATCTTTGGCTTCTTCTGAGCTAAACAAAATGCAAATGCAAACGTTGTAATTGATGGCAGCATTGTATGTTTCATGATTTGTCCTATTACTGCCACACTGGGGGCTGAAATCAACAAGAGTGTTTAAAATAACACGGGGTTGATTGCTGTCTGTTCAACTTGCACATGTTTTTCTATCTCCAATTCTTAGAATCTACATCAAGAATTGTGGACTTGGGAGGTTCAGGAGCTGTCTAAAGCGTAAGCATACACTTCTGCAAGAACAAATCAATACATCTAGACACAAGAACAGTTTTTTCCCGAACGCCATCACTCTGCTAAACAAATAATTCCCTCAACACTGTCAAACTATTCATTAAAGTCTGCATTACTATTAATCTTCTCATTGTTCCTATCACCCATCTCCTCCCACTTATGACTGTATCAGTGGTGGGTTGCCCCCGGTTCGCACCGTTTCTATAGAACTGGTAGTAAAACCGGCGGGAGGCTCCGCCCACCGACCCTGACATCATCAAAACGCTTCTGTGCATGCACAGAAGCTTCTGTGCTTGTGCAGAAGAGTGAGTGGCCCCGCTGCGAACTGGTAGTAAAGGTAAGTAGAACCCACTCCTGGACTATATGAGGTAACCTTGTTGCTGGTATCCTTAAGATTTATATTTCCCTATGACTATCATTAAGTGTTGTGCCTTATGATTCTTGATGAATGTATCTTTTATTTTATGTACACCGAGAGCGTATGCACCAAGACTAATTCCTTGTGTGTCCAATCCGCACTTGGCCAATAAAGAATTCTATTCTATTCTATTCTATTCTATTCTGTTCTGTTCTGTTCTGTTCTGTTCTGTTCTGTTCTGTTCTGTTCTGTTCTATTCTATTCTATTCTATTCTATTCTATTCTATTCTATTCTATTCCCAAATTGTACCAATGGATTATTGATATGTTATTTATTAGCATTTGAATTAGAGTATTTTTTCAACAAGGGTGACAAATTGATACATGTAATATGAAAATATCTTTATTAGACTAACTAAGGATATGCTTATGTCCTTTGACCGTTAGTAGCTCAGATTCTTGTAGAGCTCAAGTTTACAATAAATCTTTATATTCATTTGAATTGCTGGGATCTCTTGATTTTCCCTGCAGTTGACGGATACTACCACTACCGGCCACTACTACCACTACTATCACTATTGACCACCTAAAGGCAAGTGTACACAACAA